AATTTGGTGAAATCATATTTAATAAAGCTGACTTGAACCAGTGATGCAGTCAATATGCTACCCCAGCTGTCAGGGAGCACAGCTAGGCTTTTTCATCAGGTAGCAGTATGTGATCAGACATCATCCCTCATCTCAGTGGGGATGGAGCCCCCCAAAGAGGGGCTCCAACCCTGCCAGCACCACTTCACTCCTGCAGGCAGCCAGCCACACACCACAGCAGCACCCAGTAGGACACTGGGAGACTGGAGGGGCTCTGGAGGCTGCACAGCACCCAGACCCTAGAACAGGAATCGGGGTGCTGCAGGAGGGCAGCACCACTGCACTCAGAGAATGGATAAACGTTGTCATCACCTCACAGAGCACACCTGAGCTCTGCTCCTGCCCTCTCATCTCCCACTGATGCTGAACATTGTGTGTGTAAAGCACCAGCACAGCCAAGAGCGTGCTGAGACTTACCCTGGCAAGCTGAGCCTCACTTTCAATTGCATTGTGCAGCCGAACAATTCCCACATACTCTTTGCCTGAAAGAACGACAAGAGCAGTCAGGAGTGGCCACTTGCATTTAATGTCGACCTCAAGGTCCACACTGCTTCACAGCCACACATCCCTGAAATGTTCACAACCACCTCTCCTAGGAAGTGTGCAGTTTGTTATGGAGTTGGTTATTCTTCCAACAAAACAAATCTAAGCTACATTAATTTCTTCATCAGATTTTATTTCACCGGACTGGTAGAAGCTAAGGCCAGAAGTTCAGTTAGTACATGAAACCAGTTGTCAGAAGTCTTTTCACTGACTTCAAACAGCACAAGCTCCAGAGAAGCAATAAAAAAAACAACTTGTGACAGCATGGATGCACCCTCACTGGCCTGGAGTGAGAAGGATAAACAACCCTTAAGCTCAAGGCACCAAAGAGCAAGGGCAGCCCCTTCAAAGATGTGAAATCTCCATTTTGTCTCCAAAAGAACTCCACACCTCCCCGGTCACTTAGACTGTAAATGGTCCTGGGCAATAAACATACCTGCGCTCTGCTGAGATTTGACCAGTCGTGTTGCCCTCTCAATGCACACAATGAGGCACCCAGTCACCTTAGGATCCAGAGTGCCACTGTGTCCAGTCTTCTCTACTCGAAGGATGCGTCGGATCCACGCAACCACCTCATGGGAAGATGGATTGGAAGGTTTGTCGAGGTTAATAAAGCCAGACCTATAGTGCAAGATGACAAGGAGCAGGATCTAAGCACCAGGGCAAACACAGCACAAGCACAAAAACTGTGACAATATTTGTCATGGCGGTAAAGAAATGTATTTCTAGACGGTCAAGTAAGTGACAAACCTCACAGCTGCTCTCTGTAAGCACACGGCGAGTTGCTCTGTGCACAGCAAGTGATATATTCCACAGTCAAGGAGTTCTCTTGTCCCCAGACTGCTCACCACTACACTGCACCTAAACCACATGCTACAAACCCCAGGCAGGTCAAAGGACTTTCCATAAGACCCCAGAGAACTCCTCATGTGTTTGTACATCTGCCCACAACCAGCCACAGCCCTGAACAAAGCAAATCTCACAGGAAGTGACCAGCAGGTCCTATTTAGACATTTACTGGTTAGTAGCAAGGCACCAAGTCGAATAGAAAGCCAGAAGGGGAATCCAGAATGGGAAATGTTTTGAAGATATGAACTGTGAAAGAAAAATAAACCACTCTGGCCCTTACTGCACTCACCTCACATAGTCAGAAATCTCTCTCTTCAGGGGATTAGCACCAGAAGGGAGAGGTGTGTAGTGTGCTGTCATCACATTTAGCTTGTCGAAGTTCTACAAAATCCAAGCAAAAGTTACAAGTGCTCTTGAGCTCACCTTGGTTTCAGCATTGCTTTGCCCCAATACATCTCCCCAGTTACACAATGTCTGATTTGTACAGTTAAGTGAAAAAGCCTCTTCCAAAATTAAAACAACCCAACAATGAAACCACATCAATGTTTTACAGTCAGAGAAAGAAACAGAAGTCCTGCACTGAAAGGGATGGGAAAGCTGCAGAATAGCAACCTTTACCATGCAGGATAAATCCACTGTGCCCAGAAACTGGGCACAAGCAACTCAGAAGTCTACACAGATCACTGTCAGACTGAAATAAATAGCTGAAGAAATCTGGCGTGATTTTTACAGAAGATGGTAAACTTAGAAAGCCAGTATGCAAATGCTACTGGTGAATAAACTTTATAACATGATTTCTGCATGCAGGGGGTTTGTCTCTGCACTGCCCATCACCCGTGGCGTTCCCTAGCAGCAGGGTTACAGAGAAGGAGCTGTGCATCTCCAGGGGCCTGCACAGAGACGGGACAGGAGAAGGAGCAGGGACGGGCCACGAGGCCGCGTGCAAGCGGCCGCACCTTCAGCAGCAGCGGCCACTGTGACGTGTCCAGCTGGGCGATCCGGGACTCGGGCTTGATGAGAAATTCCTCCGTGTGCTGGATGTCCTGGGGGCGGATGAAGTTACCCGAGATGAGAGAACGGACACCGGGAGCCCCGCACCCC